CAGGTGCAATGAGGGGTCATGGCTTTCATTCATCTGAGATGCGTCAAGGCAGCCAAACCAAAACAACACCGGCTGCTGCTATTCCTGCTGCTATTCCTGCTGCTATTCCTGCAAAAACGTCAAGTCTGCTGCTCACCTGTCTGCTGCGTCCGACATGAGGGGTATTCCGTAGAGGGGCTGCAAATAAAGGGGGTTGACCGGTTCAGCGGTGCGATTCGGGGAAGTCAAGGGAAGAAAAGGACACGGAAGCAAGGGACTCCTCGTGCGATTCGACGCTGCATACACAGCTAAATGCACGTCGCGGTCGGTTGCGAATGGTGTGAGGTTGAGTTGAGCAGTGCCAGTAGCAAAATGGCCAGCGACGTCGCTGTTGTTATGAGGTGATAAGAGGTGATGATGTCGGGGTGGGGCGCGAAGGGGCAACAGCAAAGCCACATGACGTGGATGCTCCGCCGTCAGGAACACCCAGGAACACCCAGGAACTAGCGAACAATGCCGCACGACTTTTCAACAAAATGCATCACGCCAGGCTAGACATGTCAAATGTTCAGCCCTCTTGTGCAGCATATGCTCAGTCTAGTACGGATTACGAGAGAGGAGAGAGAGAAAATTGGCTGGCGGGAGGGAATCATTATCACACAGGGCCTGTTGATCAAATGAAGCGAAAATACTCCCGAGGCAAAGGATCATTTTCTACTGTAAAAAGACTAGCAAATATCCCTCCCCAAGATGATGCCCAAAATGACAGCGAAAAGGGTCCATCCAACACAACGAAATAAAAGGAATTAAAATGTGTACGTGTAAGAAACAAGTAAAATCTTGAGCCCAACTATTCACTGAAAAAAAAAAAGAAAAAAGTCCTAATCATCGGCAAGTCAGTCCACTTTACATGGCGATAATCTGAGCAACAACCACGGCGACCAGACCAGTCAAGCTAAGAGCCAGGGCAGAAGCACCAGCTTTTATGGGGGTGGTCGGGATAATAGCAGAGGTCCAGCTGTTGGTTGGAACGGCCACACCGGGGCATTCGGGACCAGTGCAACCAGAGCCGGGGGTGCTGGTAGCAGCGGGACAGTCGGGGCCCGAGCATCCTTCGCTAGATGCCTCAGCAACAATGGCAGTGGGACGGATTGACGTCTCCAGGGAGCTGTATTGCTCAAGTTCGGTGTTGCTGTTGACGGGGCAGACAGTCGTGTACACAGGGATCACCTCAGTGGTGACCTCACCCTTGGGGCAGTCGACCACGTATGGGGGGCAAGAGGTCAATGTGTAGATCTTGGTGGTGTAAACGGTGCTGGTGGTCAAGAGAGGAGCCTTGGTGGTAGTAGTAGGCTCGGGAACGTGAGCAGTTTCCGTCACAGGGCACACCGTGGTATACAGAGGAATCGTCTCCGTCGTGACGTGGCCCTTAGGGCAATCGGTTACGGTAGGGGCACACGACGTAACGGTGTACGTTTTGGTAGTGAAGACGGTGCTCGTGGTCAGGGAAGCTGGCTCGCTGGTCGTAGTTGAGTTGGACCAGTGGGGAGTAATAGAGGAAGTGGTGCCATTTTTGGGGGCAGAAGTGATGCCGGTCACGTCGGCGGTAGCGGCAGTAGAAGTGGTCGTGGTAGACACCTTGTTGCAGTCATACTGGAGCGCGTCATGAGCGGCGTGGACATACGACTTATTTTCCGACATCGTGTTATTCAGACCAAACGTAGCATCCCACAGGGAAATGCCACCAAAGTTTGCCTTACCCTTGGTCTGGCAAACAAGCTCCTGGAGTTGAGCAGGAGGAATGTACCCCGAACCAGCAGCCTCGGTGCTGGCTGGTAGACCGATGAAGATCTTGGCGTTCTTGCTCTCGCCCCCTGAAATTCGAGATACCCACTCGTCGTAGGAGAAAGCATCGCCAGGTGTGTTTCCAGGGATGGCGTCACAAACTGGGTTGTTGTAGAACTGGATGAAGAGAGCGTCAAGTTTGGTTGCTTTGATCAAATAGTCGAGATGGTTGGAACTGGTGACGCATTGAGGAGCAGCAGTAATGAATAAATCGCTACTCTGCTGGCGCCAGTAGTTCACCATGGCGACGTAGGGGTCCATTTCTGCAGCGTACAGTTAGTTAAAAAGAGGAGTATAAGGGCGAGACGCAAGCATAGGTTTACTTACCAATTGATGGATCCTCAACGTCCAAGTCGAAACCATCAACGGTGACGTTGCCAAATGGGCGAGGACCAACCCAGCTTTCCTCGCGGGGCCCGAAAGCTTTGTAAAGGTAGTCGGCGAATTCAATGCCCTTGGTCGAATCCGACACCTTGTAGTTGGTTCGGGGACCAGGCTGACCACCGATAGACAACAGGACCTTGACACCCTTTGCTTGGCAGTAGGAAATGTCTTCCTTGATCTGGGGACAGTCTGAGAGAAACTCAGTGGGTTCGCCGTCCTTATTGTGGAATAATGGCCAAGCGCAGTTAGCACCGAGATTGATGGCAGGATAGCCGTTGGCCTGCTCAGGGGACTTGGTCACGAAAGCAACAGTGGCATATTGCACACCAGAGTCACAGACGGCACGGAGAGGATGACCCTTATGCTGACCCTACAACGACTATTAGTATCTTCAGCGTCGCCATATTCATTATCAAAAATCGATGCGCATACCCAGTAGGCATTCAAGGACCCAAACGCAGGGGCGCTTCCAAGTGAGAGAGACAGAGACATGATATTACTCCGTGATATGAGGAATGAGAATTAAATAAAGAAAGACTGTAATGTAAGTTGGCCTGAATCGGGTTTCAAAACGAGTGTGATGATACTGTGATCAAAGAAAGGACGCAAAACGAAAATTTTGCAACGTGGCCAGGTACCAAGCAGTTGTCTGGGAAAACAGAGTTGGGGACGGAAAAGAAGGAGAGCATGATCACACGAGGCACCAGTCCGGTTTTATGTATTTTCCCGATGACCGGTACAACAGCCTGCTCGAAGGGATGAGGCCCTTGGCCTCACACCGAGTACAATTACATTGTATGAAAAAATTTGTCTGTGGGAACGCCGAGCAGGAGTCAGAACCTATGGTAACAGGCATCTCGCGGCACCGGTGGATTCTCATGGACAGGGAGGAGCGGACGGAACTCATTTCCCAGAACCGTCAAGGCGCAGCCAACATCGCTTGATATCATTTCAGGAACAGGCGTAGCTGAAGTGGTGAAGTGTGGTAGCATCTTCACGGTCATTGGACAAAATGGACATCATGGGCCACGCCAATGCAGCCCGCATTGCTAGCCCGCGCCGAGAACATCAGGTACCGATCCTCTTTCGGCCAGAAACTCGTCTGTCTGCAACGTGTAATAACTGAAGGCTCGTCGTTCAGCAATGCTCGACGACTGCGTAACATGCAGCAACGATTTCTTGATCATGCGGTAGCAACTAAGCCTAAAAAGGAATGGCATTGGAGTCTTTGGCAAGGGTCAAGATGGAGATCCTGACAAAGTCCAAATTAATACATACATATATAGAGGTCCTGACTAACGAAGGTTACATATGTAAAGGTCTTACTGAGCAAGGTACTCATGCTCGACAGGGTTGCCCGAGTCAAGCGGGATGGGTCGGTCATAGGACGGTGGAGATGCAACGCCCTTGGCGCATGATAACCGCCATCCTTGGTGAGAATATGGGATTTCGGATGGCTTGAGCCAACTCTTGGACGGCTGGCGAGCTACCATTTTGGTTGTCAGCAATGGCATGTCTGAATAGCCCCTTTCTTGTTTGCTCATCACTGATCAGTCACCCACCTTGTGTTCTCACAACACACAGCATCACGCTGCTATCATGTTAGTTTCCGGAGAGCCAACGTTGCTTGCTCATCCTTGTCGTCGGACTGTGGGGGGATGGAGATGGATGGCCAAAAGGACGGGCCATCGATGAGCAGAGTCATTGAGGGAAAGTTTGGAAGGCAGCAGTGCAAATCCGGCAGCCGCCGAAGTCGTCAGCACAACGTGACCCGCGCGTAGAAGGACAGGGGAGCTTTGAGTCCACTTAATGCATTCGTTCAAGAGTCCGATGAGAGAGCATCACAGCGATTCGTCGAGAGCGTTGTGAGCATGGGTGGATGGTGGGGGCTCAAGGATTTTCCCATGGAGAAGATGGGATGGGATGGGATGTGGATTTGTGCGTTGACATTCGGGCTCGGAAATATCGTGCCTCTGGAGGGGCCCAAGGAAGTTAGACGGGGCCATCTTCTGCTAGCATATCATGGCATTACGTCCTAATGCGGGCCCAGATTCATCGTGCCATGCCAAGCCGGACAGTATATGTAGGGATCATCGCCTACCACTCGAGTCACTGGTCCACTGGTGGGCCGTGGTTAGTGCATGAGCTTGGCGAAACCCGTTGAAGCCCCTGCCCCTTCAGATCAATACGTGCGAAAGCGCGGTCAGTCACGGAAGTTAGCGAGAAATACGCAAAAATGCCGATATTTTGATATTTTCTACATCTATCGAAACCTCACTAGCAGACAGCCTGCTCGCGACTATATGCGTCTCTTAGCAATCTCCAAACTGTATTCAGGGATAGCTATACATGGATGCGATTGTCAAAGCATCCGTTTATTCGCAATTGAACTAGTTGCCCTAATTCTGTTGATCCATCACATCTCACCACCAGTCCGTCCATACTGCGAAGAACCTCTTTAATATATATTCTCCTGCCCCTAATAAATACAAGATGTGTACAATAGCGGAGTGATTGGCAAGCAGGCACGGCGACGACGGTTCAATGGTTCGATCTTTTGTCAGGTACGGCTCTCTCGTGACAGGCAAGACTCTCTTAAAAAGTTGCGTGTAAGGCTTCTGAACTCATAGGTCTGCGCGCGCATGGCCAAGAACAGGCGAAAAGTAAACATAACGCGGTCTGCCATTGTCCACGCCATTACATTTTTGAAATTGCAAGTTACCCACACATTATTGATGGATGCGAGCGTCGCATGTGCACGAAATGCTTAGCAGGCCAAAAATAAAATATGTTGGAGGAACGGGGAATTGAACCCCGGACCTTCCGCAGACACGAAGATGCAAAGCGGACGCGATAACCCCTACACTATTCCCCCACTGTTTGACCGACCCGAAATAGCTCGCCATATTGTGCGCCACGTCCAAGCAAGGCATTGAAAACGTCAATCCGTTAAGTACACGCTTTGTTACAAACCAAAAGACACGTTGACAGGATAAACGAAGAGGTTGGGGAACTGCGAGCGCAAAGTTGGATTGCACCGAAAAATCATTTGCTTGTACACTACACGCCCACTACACACGGCATTGTAGAATCACAGGATGAACCGCCGCGCCAGGGAAGAACACAACCAAAGGGAACAGCAATTAGGGCGGCAAGCGTGCCACCTCTGAATTCGTTATATATGTCAAGGGAGATCAATCTTGTAATTGCCGCTGAAGCCGTTGGTTTGACCCAGGGTTTAGCCAGGTGTCCATCGTGCAACGTAGCGACAAAGACGTTGGCTCTGGAAGCGATAAGGGGAGCAATGTCATGTCTAACTGCTGCCATGCTACAGCAGTCACACAGGGAGGATTTTGAATTGGAACTCATACAGCTCATCGGCATGTACAAGAGCTTGACCTTTGCAGGACATGGGGCGCTGATAGCGACTTCCTCCAGCTTGGTGCCGAGATGATGGCCTGGCCGTTGATATCAATCAGTATCTGCTCAGCGAGAACCACGACATCGACTTGGAGTGGCCCCGTGAAGACATGAAGACGATGGGGAGGTCAGATGGTACATGTGATGAGAGGGTATATGCATGTCTGGTGGCATGTTTTGTGAAATGATGCAAAGAATGGAAAGAATATATATTTAGATGATTGACTATCTATTTGAAGGGAAAAGGAAGTTCTATATAAGCCTTAAGATCTATCCATAAACAACAAAGATAAATCAAAAACCTAATGAATTAAAGATTTGATTCACACACAGAGTAAGGTCTTTAGATGGATTAACAAATAAAGGATAACCCGGATTATAAAACAAACGCGATGCGGGACGCTGCAGTAACAAAGGAAAAGTAACGCCCAAGATGATGCAAGGCTGCGATGTCCAACATATTTGGCTGCTGGACCTTTATTAGCATCGCAACCCCTTCCCCCTCCCCCCTTTTCTACCATGTAAAGCTCTCTTCGATAAAATCCACAACAGTAGCACCCTGTGCCGCTCTCACAGCACCGCGGACATCATCGGCCAGTCCGCCTGGCCCGCAGACGCTGACACACATTGCTCCTATCTGCTCGCCCAGTTCCTCGTCCAGAACATTTGGTATATCCGGCCGTCCTCGAAAGACCTGGATCATAGGGCTCTCGTCAGACGGGCCAGTGCTGGACTGATTGTTCCGGCCCGTCACGAAGATCTTGATGCGCAGCATCTCCGCAGTTCCTGGCATCGATTGGAGCTCATCGAGATGTGGACGCAGCCACTCCAGAGACGAGAGGTCTCGCACGATCCAGACAAGGGTCAGCCGGCGAGTCGCCACAAGACCGGCGACGGATCCCTCTATAAGTGGTCGGGCATACGAGATCTGATGCGTGATGCCTCCCGCGCCGGCGAACAACACGAGGTGTCCGTACGAGTGTAGATTGTGGTATCCTGCGTAGGGACCTTCCATGAAGGCCATGACGCGAAGGCCTTGTGGGCAGGAACGAGCCTTTTCGAAGAGCGTACGCGTCCATCCGGACCGAGCAGCGATGAGGAAGTTCGCATAGGTGTCCCCCCTTTTCGTTTTCGCAGCGGCCTTGCCGTACGGTGGTAGTTCCTTGTGCTGTTCGGGAGTAGGAGATGCTTCATCGCGGCCCTTGTAGTTGTCGTGGTCGACCCAGGCGATCGAGAACGGGTGGCTCTCCCAGGTCCGCACCCCGTAAACGCGCAGATAGGCGTGCGTGCCGGGCTTGATGTTCACGAAGCGGTTGAGCGCGACTGTCACGCGGGTGACGTCTCCGGGCAGCGCCTCGCAAAAGGCATTGGTGCGCTGCGCATCGGCCTCTTTCCTGCAGGGCCAGGTCAGGTACAGCACTCTCGCGATCCGGGCAGCTCGGTCGGCAGCCCACAGGTGCACGACGGCAATGATCCAGGGAAGCTGGGGCAAGCCCCCTTGGACGCTGGCGGAAGCGCAGTGCAGCCAGGTGCAGATGAAGACAAAGGCCGCCAGAAGAACGTGGAGGTTCAGAAAGGTTTCGTAGAAGGCATGTCTAAAGGGCGACAGGGACAGGAAGAAGATGAGGACCATGCATATCAGACCGGTAAGTCCAGATGCAAGGAAGAGAGTTTCGCCCAGTTTCCTCCTGACCAGGCTCCATCCCCCATCGGCGACGACGGGTGTCATCCAGCAAACGACGTGGACGACCATCTCTGCTATGGCGATCCGACCGACCCATCTGTGGAACAGGTTGTAAGTGTCGAAGCTGATGCGCAAGAGGTGTATGAGCGGGTTGTTCCGACCTGCCAGGATGACGAGCGGTATGAAGTTGGCGACACACAACGTCCCGGATCGGCCACGCAGCTCTGCAAAGATTGCCCAGCGGTTGGGAGTGTCGTATGTCAGAAGGGCCATGTAGGCCATGTTGCTGGCGAGATACAAGAGGAGGAATGCCGCATGGAGCCGGGACGGGAGGGTGCCCAAGTTCATGGACCAGAGTCGGAACTCGCGGTGATGTCGCTTCTTCCACAACGACGCGTAAATCAGGTACTTCTTCACCTTGGGACCGAAAACGGTTCGACGCTTCATCCATGATGTTTGTGACTCTTCGCTCGAGCACAGTATCGAAGACTGGCGCATGCGATTCAAGACGCTCTCCATGATGCGCAGGGCCATGACAAACACTATCACCAGGCCGAGCGTGCCCCAAAGGATGTTCGTGCAGAGGATGTTGAGGTCAAGGTCCACGCCATTGAGGTCTGTGTAGTACGGCGCGATCGTTGACTCGGGTTTTGCGCTTGTTCCCGTCGTCGCGGGAGCCATTTCTTGTGGTCGAGACCGAAGGTTGGCGGATGTGATGGATTTGCTTCAATATCCTGGTCGCTACATGTATTCATGAATCTACGATGATGCATAGCTAAGGAATCCCTGATAGCATACAGCATACAGGTGGCAAGTTGGAAATTAAAAGAGCTGGGCGCAAAACACAAACGCATCACATCTTTCTCGGAGACCCGTGCGCAACTGGCGTATATCATTGTTATGAAGTTGTTATGTATCGACACGTAATTGATTCACATGGACCTACCCGTCGTGTTCAAGATGAGGAAGGTCCTTGATCCGGCCTGATCCGGCCTGATCCGGCCTGATCCGGCCCTAATCCGGACTAGCCGCGCCGGTTGTGGCGGCACCCGGCCCAGCCGGAAACACGACGGGGCGAAGCTGCCCTTATTATAGTATGCACAAGACGCTCAAGAAGTCCAAGTCGATTGATCATTCTTGACTCGCATAAGCCAAGTCACAAGCAGCAGGGATATTACATACGACTTTCACTACATTGGAACTTGGAGGTGAGACGGAATGTCGGCTTCGCTTATCAGAGGCATTGACGTCATGGCGAAATGGCGAATGGTGAATGGCGAATGGCCAGTTCCTCTCCTCTGCTAGCGTCGAAACATCGAGAGCGGGCTGAGCTCTAGCCGAGATTGACAACGACCAACGTCCAAAAACAAGCGAGGCGTGGCTCCCGAAATAAGCTCTCCCCGGTATCCTCAGCTTGCAACGCTAGCTAGCTGCTGGAAAATTTTCGTCGAAGCCGCTCGAATTGTTACCACGTGTAAAGTCTTCTGCAGCGGAAGGAGTGGCCATGATGGAAGAAGTACGCTCTGCTAACATGTAGCGTCTTCTTGCCGTCAACGAGCTCTTGCAACGCTGTTGGGAGGTTTCTGATGAGTTGGCCGGACAGTCAGACAGACTACGAGCTTGCGTAAGCTGGTTTTGGATGAGACGCGTATGACTCTCGTATCACCGGCTGTTGGATATTACAGCCTCACATCTTAGGCAATCGCTTCGCGATACCTTCCTTCTTCGCGGCTAATTGCGAGACCTCGTATTATCTGAGATCTTGGCACTTAGGGCAAAAACCCTCTTTGCCCTCCTATGAATAGGGGAATTAAGCAGATCGGATATTAGCTAGGAAACGAAGAAGACAGGGGCTAGGATGAATAGGTACCTTGAAGTATGTTGAGCATTATACATACATGTATGCTCGGTTGTCGCAGCCACTGGTAGGGGTGCGCACTCCGTTTTTGGCCTAGGTGGCCGCCTAGCTGTTGTCAAAGTACAGATAACTTATTACGGAGTACATGGAAAGTAATGCATCTTTTAGTGGCGCTAAATCCCCTGTATTCTCTGCGTGTAACTCTCTAAAAGTGGTTAGTCTGCGCGGCTAAAATACCTGAGCCTACACACATATACATGTACATAGATAGCTGAATGCACATCATCATCATCACTTCCCACACTGTCTCACACCGGCTTCACCGGAATTGCTCTCTCTGCTTTGTCCATTTCGTATTCGAGACCAGACGGTTGCTAAATCGGATAGCCAATGTTTTGGCAAGAGTGGCCACACCCAACCCTTTCACAACTTGTACATGAAGCGGCCAGGGGCCCTTGATGTGCGGCTGGACGCCTGAACTACGGACCTCTCGGGAAGCGAAGCCCTTTTTGAGAAGCTCCCGATGGGACTGTGGCAATAAATTCATGCATGCTTGCATCAATGCCAGCCATGTGTACATATAGCCTGGCCCAGTACGGACTACATATGAACTGGGATACCAGCAAGCCCAAGCAAGTCCGGGGCAGCTACGTCCTGGACTCCTGACAGGTGTGTGTTCTGCGAGCGATTTTTTTTTTTTCGCTTCTTCTTCCTTTCTTTCTATTTTTTTTTTTTTTTTTTGGGCCAAGAGGTTTCAGAGTCTCTTGCTGATGCGGCGGGTAGGGAATTGAAAGACGAGAAGAATCGGCCACTCGAGAGTCCCAAGCGTCTCGCCGAGCGGCACTGTTACGACTCGAATTCTGACAAATATCCAGGACAAGATGGATGATGCGCTTATTACTGCTTCGTGCCG